CTCTAAATAAGAACCTTATATTCTATACTCAATCCCACTCAAAAATCAAATCATGTTTACTGTAAGACAGAGGACCAGATTGAAGAAGATGTAGAGGTCAAAATGCAAGTAAAACATATACCTAGACATAATTCAGTATTTTTCTTATTCATATCCTCACTTGTCACTAACAATTTACCTAACCTAATTTAAATTTAAGTAAAATAAAATTTTTTTCCCCCTTTACTTATTAATAATTTTAAAAAGGAGATAAGGGATTCTTCCTACCCTTGCCTAACCACTCCAGATCCTGCAAGAGCAACTTTCTACATCTGTGTTTGGGCGTGTTTCTATGTATTCCACCTTAGCCCCCTACAGGATGGGCTGGCTGTCCAGGCACTTTGTTTCTGGCATGCATTTTCCAAGGAACTGAATATATACGTAAAATGTGTAAGGGGACCAGGTTTGGTGGCTCATGTCTGTAATCACAGCACTTTGGGAGACCAAGGCGGGTAGATCACTTGAGGCCAGGAATTCAAGACAAGCCTAGCCAACATGGTGAAACCCTGTCCCTGCTAAAAATACAAAAATTAGCTGGGTGTCGTTGTGCACACCTGTAGTTCCAGCTACTCAGAGAGCTAGGCAGGAGAATCAATTGAACCCGGGAGGCGGAGGTTACAGTGAGCCAAGATCACATAAGCGCAACAGCCTGGGACAGACAGAACAAGATTCTGTCTCAAATTTAAAAAATGTGTAAGGGATTGGTAAAATGTGTACTATATTCACAGTATCCTCCTTTAAGTTGAATTTTAAAAGGAAGCCTGTTACTACTATTTAATTCTATGTAGCAGCAGCTCCTAGAAATCTAGGGTGAAGCAAATTAAAGCATAGAACATTTGGACAGCAGAATGTAGGACAATATTATTGTTCATTATGTCAAGGGAAACTGGCAGTAGCCCTGGCCAAGCTAGATTTAGAAAGAAAGGCTTTCATAAAAATTTTATGAGCACCAATATAACCATACATTCTAAAGCCCTCTTCTGTAAATTCTATTATTTTCCCAACATAACCTTCTAAACATCCACATCCATTTATGGAAATCAAATAATTTTCTCAGGTAAAACACCCTGCTTTCTCAAACATACTTTTTATCCTGCATGATATTATTTATTTATGTAAAAGATTTTAAATTTTATGGTTACATGATAGTTGTACATACTTATGGGGTACATGGGATATTTTGATACAAGCATGCAATGTGTAGTGATCAAATCAGGGTAGTTGGGGTACCCATCACCTCAAACATTTACCATTTCTTTGTGTTGAGAGCATTCCAAATCTACTCCTCTAGCTATTTTGAAAGATACAATAAATGATTGTTAACTACAGTCACCCAATTATGCCGCCCAAATACTAGATCTTATTCCCACTATCTAATTGTATTTTTGTAAGCAGTCACTGACCCCTCTTCATACTCCCCCTACATACTACCCCTCCCAGCCTGTGGTAACTGTCATTCTACGCTTTACCTCCATGAGATCAATTTTCTTAGCTCCCTCACATGAGTGACAACATGCAATATTTGCCCTTCTGTGCCTGGCTTATTCACTTAACATAATGTCTTCCAGTTCCATCCATGCTGCTGGAAATGACAGAGTTTTATTTGTTTTATGGCGGAATAATATGCCATCATGTGTATATACCACATTTTCTATATTAATTTATCCACTGATAAATGCTTAGGTTGGTTCCATACCTTGGTTGTGGTGAATAGTGCCCTGCAGGATACTTAGTTTGGCCTTGTGTTTTTGAACTTTTGGATTTTTGTGACACTGGAGATCCAACCAAAATTTCTGAAATCTGCTCTTGGTAACATCTCAGCACCTGGTTCTAAACCTCAAAAATTATATTGATTACACAACAACGATAGGGCAGAATTCATTCTTCATTTATCTCTCTATTGCCTTTTTAGAAGAAAGGATGCCAAAACTTGAGCTACGATCTGAAAGTATATTGAATGAAACAAAAGACATTCTTACTTAGAAAAAAAGTATACTATGAAAGATATATCTGGTATTCAAGCCAGTTTTACTGCTCTGTGTGAGGCAGGATACTTTACTTGCAAGCAACAGATTGCTGTTAGCCAACTGTATTAGTTTGCTAAAGCTGTCATAACAGGTACCACAAACTGGATGGCTTAGAACAATATACACTTATTGTCTCACTGTTCTAAAGGCTAGAAGTCTGAAATAAAGGTATCAGCAGGGCCGTTATCCCTCTGGAACATGTAGGGGAAGGATCCTTTCTTGCCTCTTTCTGGCTTCTGCTGGTTGCTGGCAACTTTACGTGTTCTTTGGCTTATGGACACATCACTCCAATCTTCCATCTTCTCATGGCCACCTTCCTACTGTGCATATCAGTTTCTGTGTCAAAATTTTTATTTTCATAAGGACATCAGTCACATTGGATTCAGGATCACCCTGAAGACCTCATTTTAATTTGATTGGCTCTTGTAAAACCCTGTGTCTAAATAAGGTCACATTCCAAGGTTACTGGGAGTTGGGACTTCAGCATATCTTTTGGAAGAGGAAGGACATAATTCAACCCATGACACCAGCTTAAGCAGAAAGAGAATGTATTGGAAATATATGAGGTAGTTTATTTAAAGAGAGAGCTAAGGAGTGAGGACTTGATGGGTAAGAGCATGCTGCAAAGAATCCAAGGAGCAAGAATGAATCCCAGCCCTGCCAGGGGGCTGCTGCTGGGATAAAGGGCCCTCTGCTAACTTACCCACCTTGCATCCCTCTGCAGGACATTGAGTCCCAGGAGAAAGTCTGATCATGTGACTCCTAGGCTAGAAAAGTCAGAGCCCCATCATTTGTTTTCCCAACAACACTATAGCAACAGCAAAGAGATAACTCCCGAAGGATTTGAAGTGCTAATAACAAGAGAAAGGAGGAAGGATGTTAAACGGAAAGAAACTTGCCCCCTAACGGGAAATCAAGAAGGAAACAAAATTTGAAAAAAAAAAAAAGTATATTTCATCCACTTCAAATTCATCATTAATTGTATGTTATTATTAACATACAATATCTGATGATTATGAATATCACCATTCAGAAAATTTTGCTACTCGTTTATAATTTGCCTTTCTTGTAAGCCAACAGTATGGAGGGAATCCAGCTAATCATGATTCTTTCAACGATTGAGTTATCTTTAGTTTGATTTTGTGGCCATGCCAGAATTTTAATGGAGACAATGGTTTTTCTGAGCAAGCCACTCTCCCATTCTTTGACCTGTTGTTTCTTGCACTCTGGCCCACATCTGGACACCCCACCAAGCTTGCCAGCTACAAGGAGCTCTTGGCACAATGCGGTCAGCTGCTCCTCAATGCCTTGTAGAAAAGGGGATATTTCTCCTCTCCCTGCTCCTGAGACACCTGCTCCTCATGCTCCAACACTGGGCTCTTCTCATTCCACCCTCTCTCAACCCAACCTACTACCACCTCTTCAAAGAATATAGCCATTGTTATGTTAGTTATGCTTTGAATTAAGAAAAGAAAAGAAGAGGTGGGAAAAATTAACAAACTGAACTGCATAAAATGAGGGGTGTATGGGGGTGGTTCATCATTAAAAGGTATAAAACCTTAAAGAATAGACTTAGCCTCCAGGCTCTTTTTGCATTTATATTTTGTACTCTCCCAAAGAGAAATAAATGATAGATCTACTGTAGCATTCTGCCTATTGTGAAATTCCATGCCATGCCTTGGCATGGAAGAGGTGATCTCCAAGGCCAGAATAACATGAAGGAATGGTCTAGAAGTTAGAGGCCAGACTGTTGAATGGGCAGGTTGTACCTCTGTCTGGAGGCAGGAAGAAAGCTAGTATCAGGCAGAACATGGAATCAAAAGAGAGTGAGCAGTGAGTCCCATGAGAGAGGTCAGACCCTAATAAATGAAAGTGGGGTGGTCTCATCCAATAGATAGGAAATGATGGAGCGGGAAATATTCAAAATTTTACGTTCTTGTATCCCAGAAACAGTTAAGTGGTTTATCCCAAACGTGATGCATGCCAATTCTGTTCATGATTCATTGGTCAGGACCAGTCACTTGGTCCTACCCAGCCATAACGAGGCCAAGAAGTGTACACGTTTGGAAGGGAAACTTAGTATCCTTAGCAAAGAACAGTAATAACACACTTGTCAACATGCAAGCTCCAGGTTGTTCACCAACAGGCTCTGATTCAGGAGATCCTTGGGATCTGCATTTTAAAAAGACTTCCTCAGGTGAGTTTGATTCAGCAAGGCAGTGATGGAGGGATGGAGGGGAATCCTTGAACCACAATTTAAAAAAACCAAAAAACAAAAAACCACTGACTTAGAGCTTCACTTCCATGTAGGCAGGTGATCAAAGGTAAGGGGACAAATCTGAGATACAGTGGTTAGAGCCCAGATGTAGAGGATGCTTGGGTCACCTCAAGTTCTAATCAAATAGATTACAGTTGCCTGGACACTGAGGCCAAGAGGGCTGGGCAGAAGCTCCTCAATGCACAGGCATCGGGATAGTGTTGGAACAGTGCCAGAAATAGAAAAGACCTTCTGGTGTGTGTGGAGCTCCTCCAGATATTGGGAGATGGAGAGGACTGTGGGGCCAACTGTAGGCAGTGATTCTCAGATGTGATCCAAAGCATATATTGATATTATTATTAACAGAAACTCACAGGTCAGTATATCGTATTGTATCATATAATCAATTTTTCTTTCCTCTGTTCTTTTCTCCCTTCTCTCTTCCTTCTTTGTCCCTTCGTCTGTCACTTGCTGTCCTCTTTTTACCCTTTATTCTTTCTTTTCTTCTTTCCTTATTTTATTCTCTACTTCCCCTTCAACTCTTCTCCTCAATGTTTGCTCTTCTCTGTCCCTTGCTCCATCCCCTCTTCCTCCCCTCTTCTCTCTCATGTATTCTCCTCTCTCCCTCCCATTCCTCCTTGCCCATTCCTATGCTCTGCCCTCTATTCTCTCTCCAGGTATTACGCCATCTGCTGCCAGCCTTTGGTCTATAGGAACAAGATGACCCCTCTGCGCATTGCATTAATGCTGGGAGGCTGCTGGGTCATCCCCACATTTATTTCTTTTCTCCCTATAATGCAAGGCTGGAATAACATTGGCATAATTGATTTGGTGAGTATCCACATAGACCCCACTGGTTTACTGTCTGATTAACTTTGCATGGGATTCCTAAGTGAATAAATAATATTAGGTTGAGTATTCTAAGAATCTGATAGTGGTCTGGGTGATAATTAAAAAAAAAAAAAAAAGCGAACACTTTTGAATGCATACTGACAAAAATCCTCTCCTTAACCCAACTTTAGTCAGACTTTTCTGAATCCTTGTCCCATCTAGGTCTTGACTTTTGGACTTCTATGCGTGTTTTTGCATAGCCCAATCTTCGCAAGAATCTTGCTAAGTTGGTTTAGCCAGAATCCCCCACCCTCAATATTTGATTGGGTTCTTCATCCTCCGCCAGATCTCCCAGGTGATTTATGATCACCTTGGCCTGTCTTCAGCAAGAGCCCTGCTAGGTTTGTTTAGCCAGAATCCTCTCTTACTCCTGATGTTTCCTATTGGTAATTTTCCATCCACTGACCCCCACTCACCATGTTTTCCACTCACCATAAATTTCTACTTTCCCTTGTTCTATTTCAATCTCTCCCTTCTACTACAAAACCCCTTCACAGTAGTCGCTATAACCTATGTTGATAGTCCTGAATAAAGTCTGCTTTACTGCTTTAACAAATGTCACGAATAATTTTTTCTTTAACATAGCTGTATGCCAGAGTATGCTAAATACTTTATATACAATCTTGAAAACCTCCTTGTGTGGAAAGTATAGTTATTTTCCCCATTTCTCAGATGAGAAAACCCAGGCTCACAAGCTTATGTAGGTTAAGGTTCAGTAACATGCCCAATGTCACACAGCTTGTAAATAACTGGACAAGTATTCCAAGCTTAGACTCCAGGGCCTGAGGCATGTCATTTGCCCCAAAAGGTCTTTATTCCATTTTATGTGAAGAGTCTATAAGGCTTATGCACTAGTCCATTTTTACACTGCTGATAAAGACAAACCCCCAGATTGGGTCATTTATAAAGAAAAAGAGGCTTAATGGACCCACAGTTCCACATGCCTGGGGAGGCCTCACAATCACGGTGGAAGGCAAAAGGCACATCTTACATGGCTGCAGACAAGACAGAATGAGAGCCAAGCAAAGGGAGTTTCTTATTATAAAACCATCAGATCTCGTGAGACATATTCACTACCATGAGAAAAGTATGGGAGAAACCACCCCATAATTCAATTATCTCCCACCATGTCTCTCCCACAACACGTAAGAATTATGGGATCTACAATTCAAGATGAGATTTGGGTGGGGACACAGCCAAACCATATCAGCTGACATGGACCTGAAGAAAATATATCATGTGGGTAGAGGCTGCTGGGGAATGACGAGACCTCCAGGCTAGAAGTTGAGAGAACTTAGCCCTGAGCCCAGTTCTGAACTGTCTCACTTGGTGAAGCACTGTGATGAGAAGATCCATTCGTTCTCAATGGAGAAGAAGGTCTACCAGGGATCTAGGAGGCCATGCAACATATGCCAGGCATTATTCCAATCCCTGTGTATTGGTTCTCCAGATAAACGTAACTAATGGGTGGGTGTGTGTGTCTGTGTGTGTGTGTGTGTGTGTGTGTGTGTGTAGAGAGAGAGAGAGAGAAAGAGAGAGATACTGTAAGGAACTGGCTCATGTGATTATGGAGGTTTACCAGTACAAAGATCTGCAGTCAGCAAGCTAGAGTCCCAGGAGAGCCAATAATGTAGTTCCTGTCCAAATGCAGGGACACTAGAGCCCCAGCAGAGCCAATGTTTTAGTTTGAGTCCAAAGGCAGGAAAAAACTGATATCACAGCTTGAAGGCAGTAAGGCAGCATGAGTTCCCTGCTATTCAAGCCTTCAATGGATTGCATGAAGTTCACCTACATTGGTGGCAGGTGATTGGTGATTGGCAGTCTACTGATTCAAATGTTAATCTCATCCAAAAATTTTCTCATAGACACACCCAGAATAATGCTTGACTAAATGTGTAGGTACCCCATGCCTGGTCAAGTTAACACATAAAATTAACCATCTCTCTCTGTCTAGATACTAATCTTTAAGAGTCCTCCAGCTTTGCAATACTAAACTTAAAACGAAGATCAAAATCTATGGTCTAGATTCATTAGCAGGGATATATATTCCATAAGGAAGTTGTAAGGCACTTGCTTTAAAATTGGTCCCAGGATACATCGAGTTGTGGGAAGGCTACTACAATCCAGAGGACCTGTACTTTTTTATACATAATGTCTGTCCTTTAATTAAGTCACCAGACCTTGTAAGAAGCAAGACTAAAGGGCCAAAAACCACAAACATAGAAAGACAACGGAAACAGTCTCATAGGCAATCTAGATAATGGAGTAATTAGACAAGGAGCATCTACCAAAAAAAAAAAAGGGGGGAATTTTTGGCAGGGCATGGTGGCTCACACCTGTAATCCCAGCACTTTGGGAGGCTGAGGTGGGCAGATCACAAGGTCAGGAGTTCAAGACCAGCCTGGCCAATATGGTGAAACCCCATCTCTACTAATAATACAAAAATTAGCTGGGCATGGTGGAATGCACCTTTAGTCCCAGCTACTCAGGAGACTGAGGCAGAAGAATTGCTTGAACCCATGAGGCAGAGGTTGCAGTGAGCCGAGATTGTGCCATTGCGCTCCAGCCTGGGTGACAGAGCAAGACTCAGTCTCAAAAAAAAAGGGGATGGGGGAATTGAATGCAAATACTGCAACTAATAAATACACTGAAATAAATAAGTATAATGATAAATTTAATAGTAGATTTGACATATCTGAGAACACCTGTAGTAAACTGGAATTTAGATGATATCATTTTTCATAATGATAAAAATATCAATTCAAGAGGATGTTACACCTTAACCTTGTAATAAAATATTGATTGAAGCACATAGAGATAAATGGATAGAATTTTATTACAGACCAATCTGATATATATGTATATATGTATCATATCAGAATATATGTGTGTGTCCATATATATACTTTTATGTATATGTGTGTATATGTTACATATGTATATATATAAAAAATACAGAAAAGTTCTAACGTCCATATAATTAGTATTCTATTTGAAGAGAGAGAGAATGGGTAGATGTAATATTAGTAGAAATAGTGCCTAAGAATTTTCCAAACAGATAAAAGCCATCAGTCACAGATTCAAGAAACTCCACAAAGCCCCAGCAGGTTAAATAAAGAAGAAAACTATATCTAGAAAATTCATTTTAAAAATTGCTGAAAATCAGAGACAAGTTGATAAACCTCAAAAGTAATTAGAGAAAAACGATAAATTAAATTTAACAGGGAAAAGAAGACTTACAGCTGACCATGTAATAAAATGAAAGCAGTGAGAAGACAATGGAATGACTTGGTGAAAATCTACAACTTAAAATTCCATACCCAGTGAACATATGCTTTAAAAATTAAGATGATATTAAGACAAGATGATTTTCAGGCAAACAAAAACGAAGGGAATTTTTCCACACCAGGTTTTGTGCTGTGACTAAAATGAGAATTTTTCAGTCAAAAAGAAAATAATCCCAGATAGAAGCACCATAACACAGGACAGAGTGCAGAGCACTGGAAATGATAAATATGTGGATAGTGTAAGAGAACATTGACTATTAAAATAACAATAACATTAATGTCTTGTGGGTTTTCAAATATATGTAGGATTAAAATGCATGAAAACAATAGCATAAAAGGCAGGTGTGGGGCAGGTAAATGGAGACGGACTGTTTGGGAATTTTGCATGCCAAGGAAATGGCAAATGTATGAAATAGATTGTAATGAGTTGTAGCCACTAAAATAAAGATAATAAAAGAATATATATTCAATAAGCTAATAGAAAGAGAGAGGTAATGTGTTAATATAAACAGGTATTATTCTGAAAATAAGCAATAAATATAGAAACAAGGAAAGAAGAAACAGAAAAGGTTAATAGGTAACAGTAAGATCATAGACAAACCTAAATGAATTTGTAATTGTATTAAATATTAAATTATTTAAAGAATAGATGCTAAAAGACAAAGTTGTCAGACTGCATCAAACAAAATACAAATATATGCTGCTTTTAAGAGAGCACCGTTAAAAATAAAGTGACAGAAAATTTGAAAATAAAATAATAGAAATACATACACTATGCAAGTGACAATTCAAAGAAAGCTGGTGTTACTCTACTGTTATAAGTGATAGAATAAAATTTAAAGAAAGTAATATTTCTTGAGGTAGAAATATTTTATGATGATAAAAATATGAATTCAAGAGGATGATACATGATAACCTTATAATAGTCTATAAAACAAGATGCTGAATATGTACAGGAATAAAACAGCATGTTTGTGAGTATATCATATAGGTATATATTCTTCATATCTTCATGCATATGTATATTCACACTGGATGCAGATGGATCCCAAGAAGGGTAAGTGACATAGGGTTAAGCAGCTGTCTTCAGTCAAGAGCTATTTCTAGAGGTTGATGACTAAGACCTGTCAGCAGACAGTGTTCACAGTTGGTGGAAAAGTCCTTCAATCCTTAAGAAAGTGTGTCACAGGGTCCAGTATAAATATGACGTATTCCAGGAATTGTAATGCAATCAATGTAATCCATTGCATCAGTAAAAGAAAGGGGAGAAAACCCACATGGTCATTTTGTTGCTGCCAAAAATGCTTTGACAAAATTCAATACCCATTCATGATTTTTTTAAAATCTCATCAAACTAAGAATAGAAGGTAATTTCCTTAATCAAGTAGAGGCTGTTGACATACAATTTATAGCAAATATCATACTTAGTAAATTATTGAAGGCTCATCCCCTAAAACTAGGAGTGCAACAAGGTGTCAACTACTCTCATTTTTATTCAAAATCAGATGGGAGGTCCTATCAAGCTCAATAAAGCAAGAGAAAGTGATATTAGGATTGGAAAGAGAAAAAATTGTAACTGCCATTATTTGCAGATCATATGAGTATTTCCTGGAGAAAATTCAAAAGGATGTAAAGATGAAATATTAGTTGACATCTAACTTAGCAAAGTTGCTGAATACACAGCCAGCTTGCAATAAAAAGCCTTACCATGTTCTGCCTATTAGCAACAATTAGGAACAACAATTTTAACGTGGTACCGTTTACAAAAGAATAAAAACATAAAACACTTAGAAACAAATCTAACAAAAGATGTTTAAGACACAAAGAAAATTATAAAATTAAAAAGTATTATTGAAATATACTTAAAAAGACAAAGGGAAGGAATTACCATGTTAGTTAATTCGAAGACTTAACATTGTAAAGATGTCAGTTTCCCTTGATCATTTTACTCTCAGTCCAATCAAAATTCTAGATTTTTACAGAAACTGAGACATTAATTTAAATGTTCTATGGAAATACTGAGATAAAAGATTATCCAAGAGTCTTCAAGAAAAGAAACCACAGTTCAAAGACTTTTATAACCAGATGTCTAAGAAGTTATAGAAGTTAAAACAGTATGTGCAGAGAGAGACAACTCAAGAGAACAAATAGGAAATCCAAACGTGGAGCCATATGCATATACAGTCCCCTGATTTGTGACCAAGGTTACACCGCAGTGCAACTAGGAAAAGATAATCCATTCAATACATGCTGCAGGGGTCAATTGAATATCCATATCTTGTATATCATACCATACAGAAAAAATAATTTCAGGTGAGTAGAAGAATTAACCGTAAAAACTGGTCAGGCACAGTGGCTCATGCCTGTAATCCCAGCACTTTGGGAGGCTGAGACTGGTTGATAGCTTGAGCCTAGAGTTTGAGACCAGTCTGAGCAACACAATGAAACCCTGTCTTTACAAAAAATATTTTAAAATTAACTGGATGTGGTGGCCCACACCTGTAGTCCCAGCTACTAGGGAAGCTGAGGTGGGAGAACTGCTAGAGCCTGGGAGTCAGAGGTTGTAGTGAGCACAATTGCACTCCAGCCTGGGCAACAGAGCAAGACCCTGTAAAAAAAAAAAAAAAAAAAAAAAAGGACATAAAAATTAACACAATAATGATATGCTAAGTGATCATGTAAAAGAATGTCTTTACATCTCTTGACAATATCTTTGAGACCAAGTCTTACTCTGTCACCCAGGCTGGAGTGCAGTGGTGTGATCTCAGCTCACTGCAACCTCTGCCTCCTGGGTTCAAGCAATTCTAGGGCCTCAGCCACCCCAGTAGCTTGAATTACAGGTGCCTGCCACCATGCCTGGCTAATTTTTGTATTTTTAATAGAGACAGTGTTTTTCCTTGTTGGCCAGGCTAGTCTTAAACTCCTGGCCTCAAGTGATTTGCCTACCTCAGCCTCACAAGGTGCTGGGATTACAGGTGTAAGCCACCACGCCAGGCCAGTATCTTTATACTTAGGAGTAAACGAAGATTTCAGAAACAAGATACAGAAAGCACTAACCAAAAGTATAGGTTCTTTCAGAACTTCTTTCTATCACAGGATACTAGAGTGAAAAGCCATGCCACAGAGTGATATATTTGCAACACATAAATCTGACAAAGGACATCTAGAATATAAAAGAACTATTATATTAAAAATCAATAAGAAAGAGAGTCACAAGTTAATTTTTAAAATGGGAAAATACCTGAAAAATCAATTCAAAAGAGAGGATATCGAAAGGGCAAAACAGTGATTAACATTATTAGTTTTCAGGAAATGCACAGTAAAACTGCAATAAGAAACTGAAGGGTTATGATGAACTTAAATTTTATTCAAGTTTATTGGATTTAATTTAAAATTACAAAGAAATAACCAGGACATAGTAAACAGGGAACAAAGATGCAGACAACAGAGCACACTGAGAATTTGAGGCAACTTACTCGGATTGAAACTGAAGATATAGCTGCAAGAATTGGGACTGACAAGATGTAGGCAATATTTTAACATTATGAAGGCAGTGCTCTCGTCCCATTGAAGGAACCAGAGTGCTAATCAAGAAACAGATGCAGAAACTCAGTCTCACATGCTTTCCAAAAGGAGTGATGTCAGTGCACTATAATTATGTGGATATGGATCCCCAGGACACTTTTCAGTAACAAAACATAAGACAAATCCTAATCTAAACCAATGGAAAGAGTCAAAAACACATGGAGTATTTTACTTATGTAGTCAAATAAACTTTACCAACATCACCAACAAATCCACAATGAGATACCACTACATACTGACAATAAATTCCAAATGTTGGTGAGCATGTGGAGTAACTGGAACTCTTTGGCTCTCATAGTGGGAATATAAATTGATACAGTCCCTTTGGGAACCATTTGGTTGTATATACCCAAGCTATGATACAGCAATCTCAGTCCTGGGTATATACCTAAGAGAGATGAAAATACACACACACACACACACACACACACACACACACAAGCTTGTACAAGAATATTCCTAACAGTTTTATGCAAAATAGCACAAACCCAAAAATGGCTCAAATGTCTGTCAATATTGGAATATGTAATATTGTGGTTTATTCCTATAATGCAATAATATACAACAATGAAAAAGAATAAATTACCTGTACATGCAATAATGTGAGTGATACAATATTAAGTTAAAGAAGATACAGATTGTGTGTTTTATTATCTTGATACTTAGTTAGAAAACAAATAAAATTACATTCTGATGATAAAGATTAGTGGCTATGTTTGGGCATATTAATGACAAGGAGAATGCATTTGGGAGGCTGCTGGGTTGTCGATAATATTCTATAGTTTGATTTGAACAAAAATTACACAGGCATATTTACTATGTAATAATTGATTCATCTGTATATACACTTTATGTACTTCATATGTATTTTTGTTCAATAAAATATTCGAAAAAAGAAGAAGAATGGAGGATTCAGCTATGTCAAAGCTGTAGATGGCTCATTTAAAAGGAGGAATGGCAACATAGAGGTCATTGATAGCCTTGACCAGAGCATTTTCAATGGAGTGATTAGGGTGAACACCTAAATGAAGTGGGTTCAGGAGAGACTGGGAGGAGAGTAAGTTGAAGCATTGAGTGTTGTCTAGGTTCTCACTCTGATTGGGTTCCAAAGTCCCTCATGACCAAAGTCCCTCATGACCTTGCCCTATCCAATCTTCATATTCTTTTCTCCCATTAAAATATCTACCCTTCCTTTCCCCCAAACCCTAAGGCCCCTCTTGGCTGTTACACTAAAACACAGGCTGTTACACTATAACACAGGCTGTTACACTATAACACAGGCTGTTACTCTGTGTTATCTAAATGAGACAAACCTACATCAGGGAATTCAATAAGTAGAAAAATGACTGTAGAAAAGTGCCCCATGGCATTCCCCAAAAGAGCTAAGTTTAGGATGGTATGGAGCAATGGTTCTCAAATATTAATGAGCTTTAGAATTATTGGAAAAAAACTTGCTTAAAATGCATATATCTGAGCTTCATTGCCCAAAGACTTAGAATCAATAGATCTTCCAGGGATGAGAGTGGAGGGGTAGCAGTAGGGAATGGACAGGAATCTGCACTTATAATATATACTGCGGGTGACTCTAATGTTACTGATCTACAGGCATCCTGTTAAGAGACACTGGTCTGTTATGTGCAAGAAGACAGGGAAGGCAGAATAGAGGCAGAATTTCACTACTGGTTGGGTAAATGTAATAAATGATTCTGTCTCTATTTTATTTCTCTTCTGTCCTGGAGCCTTCAGCTCCTCTTGTACAGGTAAGTTCTCTGAGCCCTGGGATATGATCATGTTCCTTTTCTGTCATCAAGGTTCTTTGGGTTGTGGGCGTATAAGAAAACCAAAGCTTTGCTGATAAATTTTCTTCTTCCTTTCCTTTCCCCTTTACTCCTTTATTCTCCCATTTTCTTTCCCTGTTCTCTTCCTCTTCTTTATATCTTCCAATCCTCCATTTTCTTATTTTTCCTTTTTCTTTTCTTACACCCTTCCCCATTTTTCCCACTTCTTTTTCACTTTTTCTTTCCTTTTTACCTCCTTTCCTCATTTCCTCTCTCCCTCCAACTCTCAGATAGAAAAGAGGAAGTTCAACCAGAACTCTAACTCTACGTACTGTGTCTTCATGGTCAACAAGCCCTACGCCATCACCTGCTCTGTGGTGGCCTTCTACATCCCATTTCTCCTCATGGTGCTGGCCTATTACCGCATCTATGTCACAGCTAAGGAGCATGCCCACCAGATCCAGATATTACAACGGGCAGGAGCCTCCTCTGAGAGCAGGCCTCAGTCAGCAGACCAGCATAGCACTCACCGCATGAGGACAGAGACCAAAGCAGCCAAGACCCTGTGCATCATCATGGGCTGCTTCTGCCTCTGCTGGGCACCATTCTTTGTCACCAATATCGTGGATCCTTTCATAGACTACAGTGTCCCTGGGCAGGTGTGGACCGCTTTCCTCTGGCTCGGCTATATCAATTCCGGGTTGAACCCTTTTCTCTACGCCTTCTTGAATAAGTCTTTTAGACGTGCCTTCCTCATCATCCTCTGCTGTGATGATGAGCGCTACCGAAGACCTTCCATTCTGGGCCAGACTGTCCCTTGTTCAACCACAACCATTAACGGATCCACACATGTACTAAGGTGAGTATACTACGGGAGTTCATCAATTTGGTTGATTTATATTACTCAGAAGGGGTAATGCTCCAGTTTTCTGTTTCCAGAGGGGTTATCCCTGAAAACTGCATAGAGTTTGCCAAGATTATAAAAGCTTCTACTCTCTGGTCATGGAATACAGTAGTGGTTAAGACCTTAGGCTCTGGAGGGAGACTGACTTGAATTCGAATCAAGTTCCCAGAGTTCTGTGACCTTGGGCAGGTCGTTTAAACATTATTAACCTCAATTTCATTTTTAAAAACTTAAGATAATAATCACTATATCTACATCCCAGAGTTTTTATGAGAATCAAATTAGCTAGTGTATGTGGAGTGCACGGTACAGAGCCTGACACTTAACAAGTCTTTAGTAAATGTTATCTATTATTATTTAAAAGTGGTACTTTAGAGTAGTGGTTAAAAGCATGGATTTTAAAGTAAAATAGGTTTTGTCTTGATGCTCAGTGCTTCTACTAGCCATCTGCGTAGTCTCTTGTGGTTTTACTTTCCTCACCTTTAAAAAATTGTAATAATGTTAATTCTCATCTCGTGGATTTTGTGATGAGTAGAGATAATATATTTATATAGGGCATGATATACAGTAAGCATTCACAATAGTATTAAAAATTTTATTAATATTAGGATGAATAGTAATAACATAGTGCCTGAAAACATAAGATGGCCATAAATAACATGATAAACTAAAATACATACCATAATAAATATACAACAGTAATACCATGAGATACAATGGACGTATGGGCGATCTAGAATTGGGGTAGAAAGGAAAGGAAGCTGATTTGGCTTAAGAAGCTTAGGGAAGGCTTCACAGAACTCAGAACAGTATTTCCTAAGAATTTGAGACATGGAGGAAAAGGCAGGGAAGTCGATTCAGGCAGATAGAACAGTGCAAGAAAGGAAATGAAATATAAGAGAATATGGACAGGTCCAGTGATTTTTTTCCCCAAGGTCACATAGGTGGATGGAGGTGGGAGTGACTTTGGAGGTGAATGTTCAGTGTCTAGTTATGGTATCTCTTTCTAAACCCTGAGACTTTTCTGGTCACCCTGGGCTAGAATTGTTCTCAGCTATGCAAGCTATATGTGATAAGTACATTCATCCTGTAGCAAAACTGGATTGCCAATGACATTTTTTTATTTGCCCTGAGATGTACAGGAATTTCTAAGGAGTAGTTCCTTCTTTGAGACAAGCATTTAATTTTTCTGATGATGATTAGTATTCAGCTGTTCTGGCAGCTGAAAATTGGGGGATATTTTCATTTGCCTGTGTAAGAAAAGAAGAAAAGAAAAATAAGAATTGCTATAAAATATAAACGCTGTGCCTCAGAGGCTGCTCAGAGCAAGAATTCCAATTTTTGCTACAAGTGTAGGCAGATTTGTAGCTAAAGCCTAGCATGGTGTTGTGGTTTCAGCTGGTGGAAAGGCCCCAAAGGATACACCTAGAAACTGACATTCTCTCTTAATTATTATGCCTTCATGAGTGTCATAGAAAGAATTCAACCGTAAAGTGTGTGTACAAGAACTTCTGTGTGGGTGCCAAATAGTTTTAGCTATTTAAGCTAGCAGTTGCCTAAGTACAGGCTGTTGACAACTTACAAACAGCGTATGCTCTGGTAATACATTTGCTAAGTCAGTTGTTTAGCAGTTGATGGTTTTTTTCATAGAGAGTTTGGGAGTTCCTAGGATAGCCCAAGAAAGCCTATTTTACTAAATAAGATGTATTGTTAAAATCCTGCTGTGTCTGGTAATCTGCAGGATGACTGTAAAGCAAAGAGAGAATTTAAAGATGGCATATCGATGTACACTCCATATTTTCTTCCACAAATTTCTTTTGCTTTTTGAGACGGAGTCTCACTCTGTCGCCCAGGCTGGAGTGCAGTGGAGCGATCTCAGATCACTCCATGTTCCACCTCTCCAGTTCACGCCATCCTCCTGCCTCAGCCTCCCGAGTAGCTGGGCTACAGGCACCTGCCACCACACCTGGCTAATTTTCTTTGTATTTTTAGTAGAGACGGGATTTCACCATGTTAGCCAGGATGGTCTCGATCTCCTGACCTTGTGATCCGCCTGCCTCGGCCTCCCAAAGTGCTGGGATTACAGTCTTCCATAAATTTCTTCATGAGGTCATGAAAAGTGCAGGAAGTTGGTCTGTGATGTTTTACTGCGGGAGTGGAGAATCTTATAAGAGTAAGGGTAGCCTACACAGAATAGTTGAAACCTGCATCTGCTAGAGGGTAAATCTTACAAAGGACAGGAATTCTGCCTATTTTATTCACTACTATATAGCAAATACTCTTCATATTGTCTGATATGTAATAGGAACTTAAACTCTTGATGATTAACAGATTATAAAATTAATTCTTCTGATCAATTGTTTTAACTTAACAGAACTAAGACAATTTTTGTATTTTTCTTAAAAATCCCACAAGTAGATCATCAGTAAATTCAGATTAATTCAAGAAACATAAAACCAAAAAAATGAAAATAAGTATCAGCTTTTATCCTGCTAATCCTACCCTTATTCTCAGAGACAATAGTTAACATTAGTCTGCTGATCATTTCAATGTATTTACAAACACTCATAAAAACCACAGAAATATCATAACTCTTTCTCACTTTATGTAAATAGGATCATTTTATATGTACTTTTCTACATCTTGTTTTTTATCCTTTAACAATACATTTTGAAGATATTTTCACTGGGGAAAATATAGCTCTAACTTATTTGTTTTAGCTGTTCCATAATCTTCTGTACTAAAAATACATATTAAAATTTATTTAATTGTTTGCTATTAGTGGGCATGTAAGTATTTCCAATTATTTGTCATTGCAAGCTGTACTGTTTTTAATGTTCTTGAACACATTTCTTGATGCATGTGCTAGAATTTCTTTCAGATAGCTACCAAAAATGAAATGACTATATTGACAGGTATGCTCATTTAAAATTTTTACATTTACAATAATATTGGCATCCTAGCACACTGTAACAATTTGCATTCTCATCTACAAGTGTGAGAGTATCGAGTATCCTCTACTCCTTCTCCTCACCAATGTTGAATATTATCAATCTTTAATATTTTCTTGATTAAAAAATATTAGGTTGGTGAAAAAATAATTGCCATATCATTTAATTTGCATTACCCAGTGATTTGTCAGATTGAACCTCTTTTAAATTAGTTATATACCATTTATATTTATTCTTATATAAACTGCATCTTTATGTGCTTGGCCCTTTTTGTGACAACTTTGCTGTATTTTTCTTAGAAATTTCTGGATGTTCTTTGTTATATTCTGTATATTCATCCTGTGTCATAGAATTGGCAAATACACCTCCCCATCTCCTGCTTACTTTTTAACTTTGGTTAACTTTTGACTTATAGAAGTTTCAAATTTTGAAAAGGTATTCTTACTTGACCTCTTAGAGTTGGCCTAACTTCCTTCTTAAAATACTTCCTACATTAATTTTCCTTAATACCATACTTTCCTGGTTTTCCTGCTAACTCACCAGCAACTTTTTCCCAGTCTCTTTTAGAGGCTCTTTCTCTCTCTCTGGCCTCAAACTGTTGGAGTTCTTCAGGACTTGGCTCCTGATACTCTTCTCAGACTATGCTTTTACTTTACACATTCACTATCTATAACTTTAAATACAATCTTCATGCTGTCGGTTCTCTCTTTGATCAATATCTTTAGGACATAACACTCCTCTGAGATCCAGAGAAAAGATCCAATTTGCTTCCTTGACAATCCCATATAGGTATCTCTTAGAAATCTTAAATGTAATGCAACCAAAACAGAATTATTAGCTCTATACTCTTACCCCCTGTATTGGCCCATTTTATGTTGCTATAAATGAATACTTGAGGCTGGGTAATTTATAAGGAAAAGAGGTTTATTTTTCTAATGGCTCTACAGGCTGTACAAAACGGCATTAGCATTGGCTCATGAAGCCTCAGGAAGCTTTTACTCATGGCAGAAGATGAAGGAGATTCATACATGTCTCATGGCAAGACGGGAAGCAAGAGAGAGAAAGAGAGGAGTGAGGTGCTAGACTCTTTTTAACAACCAGATCTCACGAAAACTAATAGAGTGACAATTCACTCGTTACTGTGAGGAGGGCACCAAGTCATTCATGTGACCTCCACCCCTATGACCCAGACACTTCCCACTAGGCCCGACCTCCAACTCTGGGGATTACATTTCAACATGAGATTTGAAGGGGATGAACATCCAAACTATCTCACCCTCCAACCACAAGTTTTCTGAGTCATCCCTATCTCCATAAAAGGAATAATCTTGTATCATGTTACTAAATCAAGACACTTTTCTGTGGCTCTGAGGGAGAACTAACATATTAGAGGGCAGGCTTAAGGATTTAAAAAGAAACCAATCAGCTGGTATTGAAGAGATGGAGCTAAATAAAAATAACCGTAAAATTCAACCATAGGGGCAAAATGTAAATCATAAAAATGTAAGATAAATAAATTTCTAGCTGCATGTATGAAATTTAGAATTTTATAAGCATACTTTCTTTTTCCTCACCCAAGGCAAACATTTAAAAAGTATTGGACAGGTCACTAGAGACCTCCTTCCATTTTATTAATAATAATGATTATGATTATGAAACCTAACATTATTCCAGAAAAGAATGTTTGTTACTATATTTGAGAGCCCTAAATCCATCATTTGCATCTAATTTTTATGACTCAAAGAGGTAAGGTATTAGTATCCTTGTCATTTTAAAGATGAGAAAATTTAGTGTTAGGGTAAGTAGCATGCCCAAAGTCACACAAGTAGTAAACAATGAAGCTGGAATTCAGACCTAACTCTTTCTGACTTCAAAACTCAGCCTGGTCCTGCCACTTAGAGTCAGAGTTAAGATTACAACTTTCCATGATAACCTTGACTTTTTGGATAAAGTTGATGAGTCATTTTTTTAATCTATCAACTCTACCATTTTGTTGATATTTCT